AACACTAGGTACCGTACTATAACAATTATTTTTTGACATTAGAATAAAAGTATATTGTTAACTGTTCTAAATGATTTGTACTTAGATTCCGACGCCTGCCGTTAAAAATCCATATATAGTCTGAAAACGATCGTTCCACGTCTGCAGATATATTTAAAATACTGAAAGTTTTAAAATGTTCGATTTTCTTGTACACAAGTTAACTTTGTTATAGCATTTGTAATAAAGTTCTGTACCATCAAACTCTAGTTTCGAGTTGTATTGTATCCACCGGTTCACGGCATTTCGTAAAGGGACCCACTGAGATATTTTTTCACAATAACACAATAAAACGCCTAAGACTCTATCTATCGAAAAGCAATTACATATTGCTGATCATCGGGGTAGCAGCAAGCTCACACGTCACATGTCACACGCGTCTTCAATTGCAATGTATGTAGGTGGTTGGGTTCCGCTTACAAGTATGACTGTTTATTTATTTGCACTGCGACATATAGATGTTATTTATAACTCAATTTAATTATAACCTATTACGATCGTATAAAACCTACATTTAATTTAGTGCTTTGTTATTTAGTTTTAGGTAATTCATATGGGTTTAATTAAAGAAAATTTATTTTACTCTTTTTTTTATCACCTTATTTACATTAACGTCCTGGTGGAGTTTAGCACATTGCTAAACCAGGACAGTACTTTTTCTGTAATTATGTACTAATCTTCTACCTTTAAAAGATGACAATACAGATTATATTTGTAACATGTCGGAGCACCCATATTTAAAACATAGTTTTTTGTTTTTCCACTTTTCAATTAATTACGTGAGTACATAAATGATGTGGTAGTTGGCATGGAATTAGTAATAGAGAATAAAATAACATGAGAGAATGTTATTAATTAATGCAACAAAAAAAATCGTGTACCACTGCAATTCACAATATTTATTCTCATTTCATTAGTTGTACGTAAACTCGTCGTAACTGGATTACACTGTTTTTTAGTTATCTAATTTTCACTTTAATTTATTAGTTTTAAAACAAATTTCATCCTATTCGGACATTATCTAGTAACTAAAGTAAGTACATAGAATTTTTGTTAGATATAAATTGAAGAGTACATAACTTAATGATTTACATGATGTGTATATACGTTATGTCTTGAGGGCACTGACGGTTTGATAGATAACTAAACAGTAATTAATAAGTCTACTGAACTACATTTAGTAACTGAGAATTGTTTAAATCTATTTGGCCATTCAATAATGTTATAGTGGTTACAGTTTTCATTTTTATTTAATAATAATATCTATACTTTTTTCATAATTATGTAATATTTTTAGCAGATAGTTATTATTAGTTATGATTAAGTCTGGCCAAGCGATGGTAGATTCAGGGTCGGGCGGAATACCAATACCATCACGCGCTTGTTTACGATGACGATGACATGACACACTTCAGTTGTTATCTGTCGGTCGATGCATAGAGTACTAATAAACAATAAATAATGTTGAGCGTAAAGAGTAGAAAACGACCGTACGCTGATAAAGTGAATAAATTTATCGGTGAAATTCCCGATTTATTCTATGATGGATGTAAAATAATTTGTAAAGTTTGTGACCAAGACTTAATGTGCTGAAATAAATACGGCTGCAAAATTCATGTCAACAGTAACCGGCATAAAAAATAAAAAAATGGCGTGTCTTCTTTGGAACCTCAGTTTATGTTTGATTTACTGTTAATGCTGATTGCCTGTGATGTTCCCCTGCGCATATTGGATAAACCAGCATTTCGGGAGTTCTAGAATAAATACAATCCCCAGGTGAATTTACCAAGTCGTTCATCGTTACGTAGATATGTACTAAGTGTTCGTGAAGACATTGTAAATAGGATTAAATGTGCATTAAAAAATACACGGCTGTGGTTATGTGTTGACGAGACGACAGATTGTAAAAAAAATTCTATTTTAAATGTTATAGTACGTGTACTCGACCCTGTTAAACCAACATTTCCACTTTTACTAGCTAGCAAAAGACTAACTGCGTGTACTGGCGAAACAATTACGCGGGTGGTGTTGGAGACTTTCGAAAAAATTTGAACTGTCAACAAGTCAAGTGTTGATGTTTGTGACCGACTGTGCTGCGACAATGCGTTCGGTGGGCCGTTTTCTTCAAAGAGACGATTGTAGGTTTTTACATGTTACGTGTAAAGTGCATGCGTTCCATTTTGTAGCAGAAACGATTAGAAAATGTTTTGCAGAGGTAGATGCATTAATAGCAAATACAAAAAAATTATTTCTCAAATCTCCTAAATGGCTTTGAACATTTCACACAGTGTCCAGGTATTCCGGAACCACCAGAGCCGATTCTTACACGTTGGGAAACGTGGTTGAAGGCAGCTTTTTATTAGGCTGAATATTTTCAACAAATAAAAGCTGTGATACTACAGTTCAACCCTAACGAGGCTCAAGCTATCAAGGAAAGCCAGACAAGCTTTCAAGATGTTTTCCTTGAAACAAAATAAGCCCGTTATTGAAAAATTCGAGAGTGTATTACGGAAAGATCCTGATTTTACCAAATTAAGATAAATTTGTGATGGTGCATCTACAGCTGCGTTAAGTGAGTTCACAGAGTGTTTTACTTATGCCTGTATTACTTCCATAGATGTCGAACGGTCTTTTTCAAAATACAAACATATTTTTTCACCACAGCGAACATCGCTTACTGAGACAACTGTAGAAACATATCTGATGTTACACAGTTATTATAGAAGTGCTCCAGTTTGTGATAACGACAACCAAGCTACTTCATAAATCTGCTTAAGAAGGTGAGTTTTGTACATATTTTAATAAAGTGTACCAGTATTAATAAAATTTATTTCCATTTATTTTATTTATTTATTTATTTATTATTAGTTATCACTTAGATATACAATGTACATGTATGAACGTCATTGAACAGTTTAATAATAATGTGCAGCACTAAGCTTACAAAATATAAGGAAATACATAAAAAAAGAATTTAAAGCGAACGAAATAGTACAAAAACATCCATCACAATATATAAAATATTTTTGTTTTTATTATTATACTTATTCAAGTATTATGATATGATGCATACCCAGTACGTCTCTGTAGGATTAATGACCTTGGCCAGGCTTAGTTATGATATGGCCTGGTATGGTATAGTAAATGTTTATAAAAGTTAAAGTGTTGTTTTTATGTGTGAATAATATGTTCTCTGTATCTTAAAACGATCTGTGTGCTGCATTACATTCTGGGTAATCTAACAGATATACGAGGGGTATTATATTGGTTAGATACTTTCAAATGTCACTTTTTTGGATTGAACAAAAGTGGTTTTTATTAGAACTAAATGATATTTATATATTAAATTTTGAAAAGGCATTGCTGATCGAGAGGATTAGAGAGTGGCCTTCATAGGATATTGAAATACATATCTTATATTTTTCCACGTTATTAATAGGGTATATCTCATTTCAGAAGATAATCTTTTGCTGTTTGTAAATTAATTAATTTATTATATTTTGAGGGTACCTGTTATATTTTGAAGGTACTGTTATGTGCTATTAGTCAAGTTGTATTTTTAAATCTGTTTCGGATGAAGGGATGCTAAACTCACTATGTATCATAGCGTTATATACGGCCAATAACTGAGAAAGAGAGATGACATCTATTTAAAATGTGCAAAGGAATAATAAAGCATTCCTCTTAATTTTATTTGACGTTACTGTCTAGTTTCTAAGTTAATTATTGCGGAAGTATTTGGCAAATATTAAATTCACGATGAAAATGTTTAACTTCTGATATAGGACAAAAAGAAAACTTATGGACATTACCGATACACCCTTAATGTTACAAATTTGTTCTGATTTCAGAGTTATAATTAAAAAGTACTTTAAATAATCGAGGTACACCAGTTCTTAAATAAAATCCAATAATCATAGTATATAAAATAAATAGTAGTTATAGAACACATTTTATGAAAGCACAGCATTATCGCATAAAATTTTATATCTTTATATTCAGGTACATCTTTGTTCGTATTTTACAAAAAAATGCATAATAACCTGTATATAAAAGCAGAGTTTCTCTCGAGTATTAATATGTAAAAGTCAGAGTTTACGCTTAATTAGTAAAATACAAAACTAGTGAATTTAAAGCAAAATATTACAGAGGCCAGTTTAGCAAAAATATGAACATGGAAGAATATTTTATTAAATTCTTTTATAGCTCGGTTTATATTTTAGTATAGCTATCCAATGATTGCGATGTAAACACTTAAATTCAATTGGTATCGAGGTTGATATCTTATTTTCTTGGACAGTAACAAGATTTAATTCACAATGTCATTTTATATAAGATTTTTTTAAACATTTAAGATACAGTTTGAGAAGCTATGACAGTAGCACAGAGCGCGCTATTTGAGCTCGACTAGATGTTTATCGGCTCCTGCGTTCGATTCTCAGCTCCGGCAGACAGACATCTCGAAGGGATGAGTTGAATGTCCACATAATTTTCAGTGTAACTCTCTCCTCGAGAGCTTCTACTTTAGAATTTGGGGGTGTATAATTAATGTGAGAATCGGAGCTGCGCTCTTGTCCAGCAACGCAAAAATGTTTACTAAAAATAGAAATAAAAGAAGCCGGCTAGGATTTACTTTGCTTTTGAATTAGGAGCCCATAGACGGAGAGATTTTTTGAGGAATCGGTTACGCCGCCGACCAGGCCCGTCGTTGCAGCACGTGTGTTAGTGGTATACTACGGACCTGGTCGGCGAAATATCTAATATGCGAAACAACAGGTCGTTGCAGGCTTTTTCTTTAATTAATTAAACACCACAGATAGTACAATCCTTTGTATCCCAGAAGATACTTCGAGATACCTTGTGTGGGAGAGGGCTACACATTTAGAGACAATGGACTGTGTGCCCATTGTCCAATGTCCGAGTATGCCAGGATTAATTTCTGGTTTAGAAAAAAATCCTAGCTTCTCACCCGGGGATCAAACCCGGGACTCCAGGGTCAGAGGCAAGTGTCATTACCACTCGTCTACGAAGTCACACAAATGTACATAAACGTAATGATTCGTACACGAACATAAACGTAAAGATTCATTTGTTCCTATTTCTTTTTTATTTTGTGGGCCGTGGGATATTTCTGTTAGAGTATGGAGTGGACAAATAAAATTTTAACTAAATTTAATAAAATGTATGAAGGCCATATTTATGGAAAATTAAAGATGTCTAAGTTCCAGCCCAGTGAGAACACATTGTTGTTTAAACACATTGTTATTTAAACGTTTATATAACGTTAATTAACGTTATATGAACGTTTAAACAACAATGTGTTCCCATTGGGTGAACCAAACATTTGTCCATATTTCTCCTTTTTTAAAATATCTTTTTTACTCATTTATTTATTTTTGTTTTTATTTGGTTTTTTTTGAACAATGTGCAAAAGGCACAAGCCTATGACGGCAATACTTGTTTAGCCTATTCATGTGTGAAGTATTTTAAACAGATTTAAAATACCAGGTCGCACATCCAGATCTGTCCAAATTCGAAAAAAATTTAGCCATTAACTAAAAGTCCATGTTCCTGAACGATTTGATAATAAGACTTAGTATTTGCGTTTATGGAAAGCAAACTACCTGTTTATATGTGGTCTTGGATATCGGCATGTGGTCCCGGTATATTGTAGTATATCAAGGATGAAGTGAAATGTATATTAGGATTATCGATATTACGCTCTCCTCTCACAATTATTTTCGAATAACGAATTTATTTTAATAACTGTCTCATAGTGTCCCATCTATAAATCTCGAAAAATAACTAGCTGGTTTCAAGAAAACAACATTAATGTTCTTAACTGTCCTAGCCGTAGTCCAGACCTAACACCTTAAGAAATGTATGGGGACTACGCTTGAAAAATATCCAGAAAAGAATTGCCAAACCTCAGAATGCACAAGATTTATTTAAAATAGTAAATAATACACGGGAAATTGACATTTACTGCAGTTTAATTAATTTTATGACAGACTAACACAGTTGTAAATCGTTGTGATGCAATAACCAAGTATTAATAATGACGGTTGAATGATTTTAAGTTTAAATTATTAAATTTGTTTTGACTGAATAAACTACCATCACTAGCTAATCCATTATTATTTGTACATATAAATTAATTATTAAATTTGTAATGATTTAAATGAACTGCCATCACTAACTTATTCGTTTTAAAATAGAAGATAAAACACTATGTATTCAACTACATAGACAGCAAAATAGTTGTCCTATTTTTTAATGTCCATACACAATTTACAGTGCATTGTATATCGCATAATTGGGTATTTCATAATTTTTTTGATAATTTGGACTTTAGAATAATCTAGTATTAAAAACATTAGGAATGCGTTTTAGATATGTCACTTTTTTTACTTGTGAAAATAAATAACAATTTTCATACAAAGTTATTAGTTGCTGTGGCATGCAGATCCTATCTTGCTTTATTCTTCAAATTTTCTATTATTTGCAATATTCTACAAAGAAGATGGGTGATTTTCTGTCCGTTACTAGTGACCAAATCACGCCACAAATAAAATATTTTCTACAAAAAATATCAGAACTAGTATTGCTAAGGATTCTTTAGAATGGCCTCCTCAGTCACCAAATTTAAACGCTCTTGATTTATTTTTAAGAGGAAACGGAAAGAAAACATTTCAAATAAGTATACATTTTCTCTACAAATACTTCAGAGGACTTTCCAAATGTTATATAAAGCATAGGTTAACATTTAAAAAAAATATGTATTATTATATGTCTGTGTTACGTAAGAATTACGGAAAATTGAGATGTGCCTGTTTTCCTTCAAATGTTTACATTATATTATATTTAAGGAAATATTTATTTTAACATTAACCGAAAAATTATTAACCAAAATCTGTTTTAATGTGAAAAAGCAGGTGAATATGTACTTAGAATAAAATTTCTTAAATTTGATATTTTAAAAATAAGTAAACATAAGCATCTACGTAAAACAACATTTTTTTTTTTCGACGACCTGAAACAGAAAATTATAGTCAGTTTTGCATTTATATAAACAATGCTGCTCCTGATATATTTTTCTTAAAAATATAAAATCATCACGGCATATTAACGACTTGACGGTCAGCTTTTGTCGGATAGCAAAATATCTGTAGCGCATTTGTGGTCGGTCGATGGCTGAACATAGTTAAAAACTCGTGATATTGGTTTCACAAGGGTTATTTTTTGTGGTGTCAGTGATTACTGATTAGCATAATTTCAGTTGAATGCATGGGTGATTTTTTAAATTTTGAACTCATTAGATATGTTGTTATCTCACTCTCGGCAGAAAAATATCTAAAAGACAACAAATGCATGCGTCATGAATCATCGATGAATTTAAAAACTTGTCCTTATGTCATTGTCTCGTGCTCACGACGAAATTTGATAACGTGGGTTTCATCACTGAAATGTAGCTCGATTTTAAACTCTCCTGAATTGGCCTAGACATTTATAAATAATACTGAAATCCAAAATGGCCAACATTACTAAAAATGCTGTTGTTTAATGATTTTTAAAAAGTATACTTTTGTTCACTATAACTATGACTGAAAAAATAATTCAAATGTTTTTCAAATAAACGATCCTTAGGTTATAATCGATTATTCGATTATAAACAATTATTTGAATGTCTTTTACGTAAATTAATCATACTTGAACTTAATATCAGGAAAGCAACTAACAGATTGATGAAGAATGGAATGTAGATTATGACACACCCAACGAAAATGATGGGTTAAATCGACCAAAAAGACCATATGATATCGCGCCTATCTTGTTTCATAGTTAAACCAACCAGAAAATAAAAGTCAAAACAATTTTATCACCATACAATTTTTATTGTTATTTTGAACAATAAATTTAGTTGGTTAAGTAAATCACCATTTTCTAGTCCTACAACAACTTTATTTGTTTACATAGGCAAATAGTAGTTTAGTAATCATAACATGTTGTAGAACAAATTAAACTGTATTTGACCATTTTTTCTTGTCATTAACCATTTTCTGTTTGATATTATCTATGATGCTTCCAGAATTTAGACGCATACGGTGGTGTTCATTAAAATATTGTGCATGCAGCCATGTACTTACTTTAGTTTACAATAAAACTTGTAGCAGTGTATTTAGCATGTTATAAATGGCGAGCTAGGGTTCTCTTGGACTATAAGGAAGTCACTGGAAATGTACAATTAAGTATTGCCGTATTGCCACAAAAGTAGAGATAGGCGATATTTCACAGTTGGTGATTTTTTAACTGTGATTGAGCAATCACAGTCAGTCACTGTGACTCCACTGCTACCAAAACAGTGACTGTGATTTTACACTTTCTAGATGCAGTATCCGTATAGTACACAATACTGTACACAATCTTTGCCGCAGCCAGTAAGCCAATCGCAGTGCAGGTCGCAGATCGCACTGGGACACTGTCACGGTAATATTCAGTTGCAATAATTACGGATCAAGCTTTGACAGACTCGGAAATAATTTGCTATACGCTGCTACTGGTACTACTCCGCTGCGATTGCTCCGAACTCCGAAGCTGTTATGACAGTCACAGGTTACAACCACTGTGTGGTTGTAACAGTAGCATTTCACAGTGTGATTCAAAAATCACCATTTAGCCCATCACTACACAAAAGACCGATTTACCAATATTCGTTGAAGTTCTTGTGGATTAAGACCACGGGTGATACAACGGGCCATCTCTTGATTGTAAAGACATACACATTATGAACGGTCATAATTAATTCACAAAGTGGATTGCAGAACGATGTTTTGTTTATCTAAACAGAACCGCGGGTTAATTCTACAATAATATTGGTTTATCTACTAACTATACCAGTACAGCGAACTACTACTACTGGGTTAGAATTACAATTTGATAATAGGTAAAAATAAAATGGACTACTTTGATTTGACAAAATTCAACAAATTAGTAGTTAGATGAAATTTTTTATTAGTTGTAACAACAATGACTTTTTGTTTACAAATACCATTAATATAGTCCAATTTAACAAAATTAACGATACTGTTAGTTAAACATATTTTTTGGTTGAATTAACCCATATTATTTCCTTGGGTGCAGGTCAAGGGCTAGGGCACACAAAGGCTCTAGCTTTACCGGTTGAAGACCAGGTCGTTAGCCAGTCAGACGGTCACCAGTGCCTTCCAATGTACCATTTTACTATTCCATAGAGTTGTGTTCTCTAATTGAGATCATTGATTATTTTCTGCAAAACTCTCATTTAGTCTTAATAATTATGCCACTATTTATGGGTTGGGTACCATGCTCCAATACTAAGATATAGCATGACCTAAATTTCACCAGTAGCCACTGGCTATAATAAGTGAAAGTATCTCGGTCATTCCAGTTACGGACTTCCATACAACTCTCGTACAACTAATAAAATAAGAATAAACATTGTGAAATGCCATAATGGCACACGAAAATTCTAGAACTAAACCTCTTTAATTAAACCCATAAGAATTACCTAAATAAAAAAAGTACTAAATGAAATGCAAGTTTTGTACGAGTATAAAAGGTCCGTTATAAATTAAAAACGCCTATAATATGACGCAGTCTAAATAAATGAACAAGCAGATATACGCGTAAAACAGACCCCCCTCCACCACCACCTATATACATGGCAATTGAAGATACGTGCGAGCTTGTGACCCCGACACTCAGCAGTTTGCAATTGCATTTCGATAGTCTTAGGCGTCTTATTGCGTTATTGTGAAAATAATGTCTCGACGGGTTTCTTCGCGAAATAACGTGGACCGATGATAAAAAAGAACCCTAGAGTTTAATGGCACAAAACTTTATTGCATATGCTGTAAAAAAAATATCTTGTGCACAAGAAAATCGAATATTTTAACATTTTCAATATTTTAAATACGTTGCAATTACGTCTGTAGACGTGGAACGGTAGTTTTCAAACTGCAAGTGGATTTTTAATAACAGGCTCCGGTAT